TTGGGATGTTTTAGGAAGATACACTTCTCCTGTTGAGCCAAAGTGGAGTCACAGTTTCTTTTTGTAGAATGAACCTGATGTGTTAATAGTGATTCCCTTAGAAAGTTCAGATTTGATAGCCAAGATGTGGAGACAACCTAAATGTCCATCAACAGATGAATGGATAAAGAAAATGTCATATATACGTATAATAGACTAATATTCAGCCTTAAACAAATTCCGTAATATGCGACAAAATGGATCAACCTTGAGAACGTTGTGCTAGGTGAAATAAACCAGTCACAGAAGGACGAATGTTGCGTGATTCCATTTATATGAAGAATCTAAAGTAATTACATTCATAGAGTCAAAGAGCAGAGTGGTGGTTGCCAGGGGCTGGGGGAAGGGGGAAATTTAGAGTGGGAACAACATTTCAGTAAACAAGGTGAATAAGCTGTGGAGATCTGCTGTATAGCTTTGGGTCTATAGTCGGCAACACTGTGTTGTGCACTGAAAAATTTGTTGAGAGTAGATCTCATGGTAAGTGTTCTAACCACAATAAAAGAAAAGAAAAGAAAAAAAGAAATTCAGATTTGAGAATCTAATAATTTTTCATTCTGAGAGATCCTACGAACTCTAGTTAATATCTTGGCCCATTTCCAACTCGAGTAATTACACCCCCAGCACCCATAATTTCCCTGCAGTTTTAATTAAGAAATGTGTTTTGCTTCCCCTCTGTGTCTTCTGAACTGTATTTCACACAGGTGTGTCCTAATCATTTTGCAGCCAAAGGAGCCAAAATTTAGCATGAAAATTGTAGCTTAAGCGACACTTTGTATAAACACATTGTATACTGTGAGTTATTTGCTCTTTACCTTCAAATAATTTTTTCATATGGGGTTCAATCTGATGTCCATGTGCAGAATTTTTCAGTAGTATACTCAGTCTTGATAAATCATTTAATAATTCTGGCTGTATTATCTTTCATTTATCAAGTGTCATCTCTTTGAACTTTAAACTAAAATCTATTATATTCTCTTCTGGTTTTGAGACTTGAATTTCTGGGGCAGATCTTTTCTGGGGATGATTTCTCGAGCTATGAAATGACGAAGAAACCTTCTCTCAGTTTTCTGGGTTCATCACTGACTCTTGGATGGAGTGGTCCACCAGTCCATAAGTCCAGAATCTCAGAGGTTGTGCTTTTCTCCTGAAGTCACTTCTCTCGTTACAGTTTTATTACCCCCACGGTACTAAGACTATAGAAATTAAATATAGCCTGTTAATTCAGAGCTTTGCTGCAGTTTCCCAAAGGTACATCTCATCCTCTTGTCCCCACTCCTGAGCTTGCCATCCCGACACTGTTTAGTTAGTACTGTACCATCAGCCCTCGGGCAGCTAGCCTTTCGGCCAGATTGTTCCTAAATTCCCTAATTAAATCATTCATCTCTTCTATGTTTCACAGACAGTTTAACCTACTGAAGTTTTTTTCCTATTGTTTAATTTTTTTTGATGCCATTCAAGATTTTTAGTTCATCATAGATATTACTAATTTTAAAGGAAATTCCTGAAAAGTAGAGGAAAAACAGTTTACTTAAAGGAGCTTAGGTATGTGTGTTTTTGGATTATGTTGGCTATTTTTATTAATTGGCTTACAGTTCGTTTCTAGCTATAAGTATATGATTCAGTCTATTTTTGGCTCTAGTTGGAAGATGCGAACAAAATTTGTTTTGCTTCATTTTAGGAATACTGAGGGGATGTAAGAAAATTTTCTTTCCAATAAGTTTTACATTTTGTAACTGAGATCTAAACAAATCAGAGGAACTCTGTAAAAATGTACAATGTCTGTTTAAACATAATGAGCCTTGAACCTATGAATATTAGTAAGCTCAGGACCAAATTTGCCATTCGTAGCCTTGTATTAACACAATCAATAGAAAATGTTCATCATGTAATGTTAGCAGGAAAAATAGAATTTAGGATTCTCTGTAAAGTCTTGACAACACTGTGTTATTAACGTTAATTTATATGCATATTGAAAAAAGACCCGAAGGGAAGAATATACTAAAAGCACAATGGTGGAAGTTCTTGGATAGCAGCATTATGTGTGAGTTCAATTTGATTGTTTAGTCCTTTTTTGTATTTTCCAAATTTTCTACAATGAGTATGTATTATGTTAATAATAAATAAAAGCATTTCAAAACATTGTACGAAGGACGCATCATTTTATTAAAATGATTCTGGATTTAAAGAGATGGTTTGTATAAGTTGGAGGTTATCATATATAAATTTCAAGTTCTATCTGGTTTGAATTCGTTGACTGCAACGCTCAAGGAAGCTGTAACAGTAAGTGAATGGCTGGATGCAGTTACTGTAACTGGCATGAGGGTAGTCCTCGGGTCAGCCTGAGCTGTCACCTGTGTCATCACGTTCTCCCCTGTGTTGATTATGCTTTCTCTCTGCTCATGTCAGGAGGGGCGTTGACAGCCATAGACTTAGGTTTGGCCCAGGGTCATACAGCTACTAAATGACGGGCCTGACACTGGACCCCCATCTTGTTGTTTTCCCACCCCTCTCTGTAGGAGACTCAGAAAATGTCATCTTCCTTTTCAAAAGGAAAACCATCATGAAGGCCTTTTGTGTTCTTTGTGTTTGTGATTGTGTTACTTTTTCTCCTTCTTTCTTCTGCCCTGTGTAAAGAAAGAAAGCACGCCAATGTCTTAGTGCCTCTGTGCTGGGAACAGGCCGGACCTTGGATATCTGTTTCCTCATCTCATCCTCCCAACAACCGTGTGATGTAGACATTCTGATCTCTAGTTACAAACGTGAGGTCTCTCTAGATTTTGTCCATGGCCCTTGTGAATTGTAGATGTGGCCTTGAACTTGCTCTTTGATTCTGATGCTCAGGGATAGTGAAAGCTGGGTCCCAGGAAAGCTACATTAGAGGAAAAAGAAGGAGCAGAATGAACACCCAGAGGATGTATGCTGGAGAAAGCAAAACTGTGGAGAGTTACACACAGCCGGCCCCCTGCTGGAGGGCTCTAAGGGTCCACGCTATGGAGAGAGATAACTGGGTTTAGGTCCTGCACTGATTCTTACTAGCTTTATGAACTTTGACAGTACCTACCCTGTCCTCTCAAATATTCAGTTTCCTTATCTGAAAGTTGGAGGCACAGTCACAATAATTTTAGTTCTCATGAGGAATAAGTGAGGTAACAGGTAGAGATCTCAGAGCCCAAGTTCTGGAGTAAAAGTAGGACTCCGTCAATTTTAGTTCTAAGTGATAATGATGATTGTGATGATGATAATATTTATAAACCTGAAGCTGCACAGCTGTATCTGGCCAAGGAAGGACTTTACTATAAAGCCAAGAACTTAAGTAGAATTGAAGAGAAACATTCTAATTGAAGTCTCCTTAAAGATGGATAAATTGATAAAGATTTAATAATTATGAGAAAGATACCATTTTTTTTAAGTTGACTAGTATATTTTGCCTGAAAGGTTTTTTGTTGTCCAAGTCATATCCTCTTAATCCATGCGGCTTGAACATAAGATGAATGGACTCCTATCTGTCATAGTTCTTAGCGGGGAGAGACTGAAGAGGAGGCAGAAAGAAGGCTAAGGGCTCCTCTTTGATTTGTGGAGGCCAGTAGGAGTGTGTCACATGGGGAAGCCCAGCCCTTCTTTAGGTTTTGGGGTGGGGTGGTGTGACACAGTGTGTGTTTGTGTATGTGAGTGTGTGTGTGTGATTGGAGAGCGACTGTGTCCTTACATACCCAGCTGTGATGGGTCCACGGTAGGGACTTTTACTTATGTTAAGTCACCATCTGTTTTATTATTGTGTATTACTTTAAATAAACATCGATTCTTAAGCAGTTGATTTAATGAAGATTAGACAGCAGATTTGCTCTTATTCCCTTTTTTGTTCATTTGGTCTCCCTGTGGCTGGTTTCCTTAAAGCCTCAAGGATTGTGGGGCATGTCATTACGCTGCTCACAGTTTCCTAGACTTTAAAATTAGCTAGTTGTGCTGATTAACCTCGGAGACCCCTTTCATCTCTCTAATTCTATAATTGCATGATTTTTATAGTGAGATGTTCTGTGTGACTCATGCTTGCAGCTTGGACCATGCAGTTAGAAGGCATTTGTTAGTGAAGCCTTGTTCCTCACTTGGAATTAACACTTAATGTTGACTCTGTGTGAACATGAGCTTCTTGTTTGCAAGGCTAACTTGTCAGAAATGTTTTTGTTTATTGGAAAGATGATGTCCCGTCCCTGTGCACAAGGACAGGTGTGGTGTTCTACAGTGCTTGTGATTCTTTTCGAGTTTTCCGTATTATATTGTGATCTCATGTGGAAGCAGAACCCATCACGTTTGTCTGTGAATCCACCTGCGGGCGTTCTGAGGGAAGGCAAGTTGCCTCGTTCTTCCTTGGTCGTCTGAGTCAAACTAGTGCTGTGGTTCCTGATGGTCTTTAAAAAAATTACTTCCTTTTGATTTTCTGGAGTCTCATGTCTTTCTTCGATCATTTATCCCAGGGCAAGGAAGATTTTTGGTCAAAGGAGCCTGTGTTGACAACTGTGATGGATAGATTCCATGTTTATGCCTTCATAACAATGTTATTAATTTGGCACAGAGAAATATCTCCTCCATTTTACAGTTAAAGAAATTGAGACCCTGATTTGCTAAGACAGAGCCAAGTGTCTGTAGTAAGTGAGTAGTTGTATGAGGGTTAGAACTGCTGAGCCCAGATCCACAGCACTGAGATGGAGGGGAGAATTGAGGCATGCTAAACAATGTGCTACAAATGTACTGAATCTCTCAGACTGGAAAACTGAAACATTTCTCTTTGTGTTTTGTTTCAAAGTCATGAACAGAATTATCTAGGATGCTACTTCATCGTACCATAGCTTTGATTTCACAGGGGTGTCTTTTCCTCAGCGGACACATTACTTAACATCAAGAACTGTTCTGCGAATTTCCTTTTCGCACGTGTGGCTCATGACCTGCTTCTTTTCTCTTAGACCTTCTCTGACCATGCCTCACAGGAATCTGACGGGAAGCTGCAATGTTAATTGTGGTTGTAAAATCCACGAGTATGAGCCAGTCTGTGGATCAGATGGAATTACATACTTTAACCCTTGTCTGGCTGGCTGTGTTAACAGTGGTAATATGAGCACTGGGGTGAGTATGTTTCAACAAGTTCCTGTGCTGCCGTTAGATTTCATATGCAAACACTTGGCTTTAGTCTCCCTTTTTCAAGAAACTTCAAGTAGTCTGCAGAATACCTTCTGACCAAAACCCAAAGGAAAGAAAATTATGCCATGCTATCATTTTACCCTCCTACGGATGATTGGAGCATTTGAATGTAGTAATCTGATTCTACCTCAGCCCCCCTCTCCTCACATTCAGTGCCAACCCAGCGAAACTTGATAAAGTTGAGTGCTGGATCTCTCCCTGGTCACCCTCACAGGGCCCTTGTGATGGACCTGAAGGTCAAGGTGACCACATTTGGTGCTGACAGAAGAGAACTGGAGAGCACCCACCCTGATCAGAGTCTGTGAAGATGGGCAGTGACCATTTTTCATAGACTGTCAGTTCAGACTTTCTTCCAGAGTAAAGATATTTCTGTCAGTTCAAGAATAGGCTATTTTGAGAATTCCCTTCCTCGTGAATTATAAATAGGCTGTAATACTGTGGGAGAAGTTTTTCATATTCTACTCTGTTCTTTATTGAGCCTGATTTCGGGCTTTGCATAAGAACGGATTGTAGGGGCTGCTTTAATGAAAAGGCTAAGGTGAGTTTGCTTGTTCTGTGCCAATGAGGAGATATTATTCCTTTGGCTGTATATTTTGGGGATGTCATATTTGATTTCTGAGTTTTAAACTGTTGTGATAAACAGAATTCCTCTTGCTGGCTCCCCATTATATAATTGGTGTGACTGAATTGAAAGGGACAATGACATCTGTTCTGCTCGCTAGCTAAGTCCTTCCCTGGGAGTGATCGAGTCCTCGGGGGCACAGCCCGCATTCTTAGAAGGAGGCCAACAGCCCCTGGAGCACAGGTGGTCAAACAGAGCCCCATCTTCACATTTGTTCCTCCTGCCTCTCTTAGTGGCCCAGAGGTCACAATGACAGTGAGTTCAGCTGACATCCACTCAGTAAAAGCCGTGTCCTAGGCGGGAAGGTTAACTGGCTGTTTCATTTGAAACACCTTTTTAGTCCATTGAATTAGCTGGTTTCAAATGAAACAGCCAGTGATCTGTTATTGGCATTGAAGTCCTCACAGTTGCAGCATGAATTCTCCGTATTTATTTAACAGATGTTTACTTCAGGCCTTGCACTGTGTTCAGGGTTGTGCTAGGCGCTCTGGGGAGCATAAATGAAAATAAGGCTTAGTTCCTCTTTTTGAGGGACTTTGCTAATCAGAGAGCCCGAGAATTAAACAGCAGTTGGAAGGGCAAATGGTTACAACCAAAAATGTGAATGGAGTAGAATTGAGCGTTGAGAGCTTCTTATCAAAGTTGAGGTTTAGACCATCTTGACCAGCAGATTTTGACACTGTGAGAGGCACGCTTTGGATCCCTTACTGTTACCAATGAGGAAGATATTTTCATTGAAATATTCTGCATAGTTTTCAATGCTAGAATTATTTTAGAGCACTTTGACTTTATCTTAATATTGCTGTGCTGAAGTTTGCCTTTGACTGGCATACAGCGGATCTTTGTTCCCCCTTAGATAAGGAATTACACAGAATGCACCTGTGTCCAAAGCCGGCAGGTGATCACTCCGCCCACGGTGGGACAGCGCAGTCAGCTCCGCGTGGTTATTGTCAAGACGTATCTCAACGAGAACGGCTATGCTGTGTCCGGGAAGTGTAAACGGTCCTGCAATACCCTCATCCCGTTCTTAGTTTTCCTTTTCATCGTGACCTTCATCACAGCGTGTGCCCAGCCATCCGCCATCATAGTAACACTCAGGTAAGCATTCAGCTTCTAGCGTGGCTTCTACACTCAGAATGGCCAGAATTCACTTCCTAGACTGGGGACTGATGTGGTAACGTGGAGGGGAGGGCAAAGTGAGATTGCGCAGGGCAAAGTGCTCCTTTTCCTGGTGAACTTGAAAGAAGGGAGCTTTCCCATGTCGAGAAAGGGAGAGGACATTTGTAACATTTCCTACTCCAGAACTCTTTTTATTCAGATGAGTTTCATCCCAATTGTTTAGTGAAACCTCGTTTGGATGCCTTTGGCTCCTGAAGTGTCTCCCCTAAGAGGTTCAATTTCAGGAGCTGAAAGCCATCCCTGTGTTAGCAACAAGCAGCCTGGCCCCGGGGGAGGCAGGAAGTTGTTTGGCGAAGTTGCTAAATCGTGCACACAGCGAGGAATAGTGCCTCCAGCCTTGCAGGGAATTACTGCCTCCAGGAGCAGTGACCGCTTATGCTGCGCTTGCAGTTCAGAATGCTGATTTCATTAATTTCACTATCATATAAAGTTTTGCAATTGAATCAAGGAAAGGGCAGACTGGGAAATGTAATTTTTGAGTTGTTCGTGCTGTTCTTTCTTTGCTGTATTATATATCCCGTTTGTGTTATTTTTGCTTATAAGAGAGAACGTGGAAGTTACCGTAATGGAAGTCCTGTTTAAAATGTTGACACTAGCACTTTCAGGTCAGAGTGTTCGTATTTGAGGTAAAGGCTGCAGTGGGTGAAGGAAGGGAGGGGACAGCTTGGTGAAGAAATGAGCATGCTCACAGTATCTTTAGGGGGACTGGGATGCAGTGCAATGAAAGAGTGAGGGGTCTCAGTCTCTCTCCTCCCTTTTCTGTCCTCCCTGGCTCCTCAGTACCCCACAATGCTGGGCACCTGGTGGGAAGCACCTGCTGAGATGTCATACTGAGCAGGCTGGTTGGGCTGCTCGCGTGCCAATTCTGCAGATACTGGCTTCCCTTCTATGGGATGCTGAGTTAGACGATTCCCAGCCAGTTTGCTCCTTGACAGTAAGAAAACAGCACCTGAAAGTATCCTGGGTTTACTCACTCAGTTCCTCCATCAGCAGATGCTTATGTAGCAGCAGGGTCTGCAGCACTGGGGAAATGGCTTTGAGAAAATAAAGAAATTGGGGGAAACGATGACTGGTCCTTGGGAATTTTACGTTATATACTGAGAACCCTATGTGTATGGGATAGAAAGGATAAAGTACTTCAAATTAAAAAATGTGAGTCATTAATAATCTAATACTTTGAACTTCAGTTCTACATGAGCTGTTAAATAACCCAGATAAAGGCTGCACATTTTATAATGTTCAAACATGGCTGGTCACCAGTTAGCTTCCAACCCAAAACTTAAGAAGAGGAGCCCTTTAATCTTTACTAATTACAAAATCAGTAGACTGCAATCTTCCTGCCATGGGGGAATTACTTGGAGCATAAGTTTTATGAAAAGAAGAAAAAACGAAGTGGCTGGGAGGGATTCATTCTTTTTCTAACTTTTGACTTGTTTCTTTCCTATACATTTTGGGGCTTTTTTTTTCACTTAAAAAAATTTTAATTATTATTGAAGTATTGAGACCATTTAAAAATTTTTTTTTCTCTATACTTTTCCTTGAGAAATTACGGGAGTAACTTTCAGTGTGCACACCTACCGTTCTAGAAAGTGCAGGCAGACAGAGAAAAAGAACAGCCATCATTAGGATAAAATGCTGTATATATTTTTAACGGGACTGGTTTTGCAAGCTCAGCCAGAGTCACTTCTGTTCCTTCAGCTCTGAATCTTTGTCCCTGCACCGTTACTGACACAGAAACAAGTAGACTTAATCGGAGTTTCTTTGGCGTCTTCACTGGGAAGACCTTTATTCACTGATTTAGCCATAAGCAGTCTTGCTCGGCTGTTGTTAGTAAATTCTAGCAAATTAGCCATTTGGGCCCAACATCTCTTTTGTCTCTGGTCCTACAACTAAGCAGGCTTGTTTGACATTCATTTTCTTGAGATCATTATTTTGAAACGTTTCTTTCTTCCCCTTTATCTTAGGTCCGTAAAAGATGAGGAGAGACCTTTTGCCCTGGGAATGCAGTTTGTTTTATTGCGAACACTTGGTATGTTCCTGAATTTCCAAGAGTGCCTCTTAGTTCCTCTTTGCTGGTGGCAAATTTTCACTGCCCTTTAAAAATGGCAAGTCAAGTCATTTGTTACCGTTAGTAGTAGCTAGGATTTTACAGGTTAGTGGTGGGGGCGCAACTTCCTCATTTTCTTGTTTGGTCTAAAAGCTGACCGATTCTGTCACAGATGAAACAAAACAAAACTGACTTTAGATCAGTTTCTTTCTCACTGTGAGCATAAACTTGGGCTAAATTCCCCAGAGTTTTGTATAGTAAGAAATATTCGACCAAGCAAGTGTTATGGACATATGATCCAGGCTCTTTTTGTCCCTTTTATAATGTGAAAGTGATGGGAATTGGTGCTCATTTTGTGTGTGTGTGAAAATTTCAATTCCTTACTTTTTTCCAGTAATTTTATTGGACTGGGTAAAGAGGATAATATCAAGTTTTCTGAGGGGAAGAAATAAAAAATCCTAAAAAGAAAAAAGATTTCCAAATTATATATGGGGACTATGCTTTACTCATTAATAAGAGAAGCTCATTAGCACTGTGTCAGTGTGGGAAGTCACAGTTTATTTGGACATGAAAGATACCGTTCTAATTTTTACAAACACTGCATTACCTGTGGTGTCTTAGGGCATGATGGAAACAGCATGTGAAGTGGTCCATTCCCTTGATCAGTTTCAGTATATTTTTATATGGATCCCTCATCATCAATCATATTTTTTCTTTCTTAAGTGGCAATCTGTCATTTTCTTCAGCTGTTTTTTTCCCCCAGTAGTCAGTATCATTGTCAAAAAAATGTTTACTTTTTGATTCAAATTGTTTATTTCAGTTTTGAAGGAGGAAACACTTTAAAATGGTACCATCAGACCCTTGGAAACATGAATCCTTTCTGGAATTCTCATTTTGTCTAAATGTTGTGGTTGATGGCTCAGACCAAGAGCAAGGACTTGTCACTGACCATCAAAGGCTTCCAGTTGCATTGAACTGGGTGCCTTATTTGTTGGTACCATTAACACTTTGACAGTACCATTTGGCAAAGAATGCTGGTTCAATGAAATCCTGGCATACTTTGATATATAGTTAAGAAGTTTGACTTCTACTTCTCATTGAAAACAAACAAGTTATTTTTCAAAGAATGAAATTTGCTTAGCAAAGGGGTAACTGAAGAGGAAAAGAAAAAAATACTTCCTCCTTTTTGCTTGGCCTATCTGTGATGCCAGGGCGTTGGGCAATTTGATATGGATCTGGAGGTAAAGGTGAGTCAGCAGAAGGACGCCACAGCATGAGGAAAAATGGAGGAACAAACATATCAGGCATTTACCATTTAATTCAGCCTTACCTTAAGTTCCATTGATTATGAAAAAGTATAGCTAGGCCAACCAGCCAATTTCTCCAAGTTCCAAAACAAAAAGAAAATTTTAAGTATTTTTTTTATAATGTCAAATTAAAAAAAATTAAAACATAGTTGACATACAATATTATGTTAGTTTCTGGTGTACTACATAACGATTTGACATTTGCATACATTATGTAATGATCGCTGTGAAAAGTCTAGTAACCATCTGTCCCCTTTCAATATTATTATAGTATTGTTGACCATATTCCTTATGCTGTATAATACATCCCTGTGACTTATATATATAGGTTTTGTGCCTCCTAACCCCCTTCACCTATTTCACCCCAACAATGCTACATTTTAATTGTAGTGACTGTATCTCATTTTAATTGAATACGGTGTGTTTAAAAATGTATCACAGCCTCCTGGGCTAAGCCCACCTGTCACCCCCTTTTTCCCTTTCTCCTTCCCTTCCTCCCTTCTCTCTTTTCTTCTTCCCTTCCTGCCACTGATCATTTCCTTTCATAAACCCTTATTGTGAATCCAAGGTCCTTGGGGATGCAAAGAATAAAAGACATGGACCTTGCCGTCAAGGAGCTTATGAGTGACAGACTTACAAGCTGTTAAAATACTGGGTGACAGTGGAGAAAATGCAGCTGTACACAAAGTGCAATGGAGTACAGTAGCATCTGAACGAGATAGGAATTTAAAGGAGGCACAGATATTTGCAAGGTGAACAAGTTGGGGATAGGGACTGACTTCAGCAAAGGGAGTAGCATGTGATGAAGTCTGCTTGGATAGAGAGTGCAAGAATGTGAATCGCACAGCCCAAACAATGAAGCTATTACTCATCCCAGATGTTTCATAACCTTTAAAGATGAATATTATGCCTTAATTATTTCTGTACTCCAGGCGCCTTTATAAAGTTGCCATTTGATGTGGTTTCCAACTTTCAGGGAACAATGCTTTCCTCATACTCTTCCTGCATCCGAGGACTAGAACTCAACCCTCAAGAACTAAGTGTACTGAATTTTTGTGGATCACAAAGGATTCTAATACGGCCATTTGTGTATTTAATGACAAAATCTGATTTTTAAGTTTTAAAGGATTCCCTAATTGCATTTTTATCAATAGAAATGTTTATGCCTAAAATGTGTTATTGATTTTTAGACATTTTATATCATAATATGTCTAATAATAATAAATGCTAATAAATCATGAATGGGCTTTAGAGCAAACGAGCACCCTGTAAATTTACAGATCGGTGTCCTCTCCTAAGATGTGCTGTTTTTCCTTTTCTTTGCCCCTACAATTCTAGCGTACATTCCTACTCCGATTTACTTTGGAGCCGTTATTGACACCACCTGCATGCTCTGGCAACAGGAGTGTGGCGTGCAAGGCTCTTGCTGGGAATACAATGTCACGTCCTTTCGTTTTGTCTACTTCGGTTTGGCAGCCGGCCTCAAATTTGTTGGCTTTGTTTTTATTTTTTTGGCCTGGTACTCCATTAAATACAAGGAGGAAGAAATGCAGAGGCGGAGCTGGAGAGAATTCCCGCTGAGCACCGTGAGCGCGGTGGTGGGCCGCACTGCCAGTGCCAATAAGTGTGCCCGGACTAGGTCCTGCCCGATTTTCAGCACCCAGGGAGAACTCCACGAAGAGACCGGTCTGCCAAAAGGGATCCAATACACAGCGCAGACCTATCCGGGGCCCTTCCCAGAAGCAATAAGTTCCTCCCCAGACCTGGGGCTGGAAGAAAGCTCTGCTGCTCTGCAGCCTCCCTCCTGAAGCTTGAAAATGGAAGTTGAATATGGCGGCTTGAGAAACACCTGTGCCTTCTTTTCTTTCTTTCTTTTTTTAACCTCTAAAGACACAATCCTCAAACCAACAAAACTCAGTAGACACAGCCACTGTTGATTGAGGGCTGGATACCTCAACAAGACTGAGCCTTCCCCTGCCTTCTCTCCACGAAGGAGGCGTTTAGATAGATTTGTTACCATCTCTGAGATGTTCATTTGATGCTCATGCTCCAGTGTGGAATCAGGCTGGGTGCGTGGTTAACAAAATCGTGGGACATGTGATGACGGTGCGTATCAGTAACATACACTCCGGATGAGGGTGAGCTTGATTGTGACTTTGCATTTACAAATCAAAGTTTCTAGGTACGAACACCTACTGTGAGTTCTGCTACAAAGCACAAATGAATTTGCCTCAACTATGCAATCCGATTGGGAAAATGTAAGTGCAGTGTGTTACTTTTGCTTTTGGAGACTAGAGCAGGTACTAAAAGAGAGGAAGCTGAACTTTCCCTAAAGTACTGTTAATTGCACTTTAAGCCATAGCAGAGTTATCAATCAGGTAGAGATGTTCAAACGCTTCAAAGGAACCATGTGCATAGTGTAACAAAGGGAACAGCTACTTCATTTCGTTAAAACACATTCTCTTTTAGTCTGTCCACCCCACCATAAAGGAGTTAAAGATGCTACTAAGTCATCAACCTGATAGCTTGTAAGAAACCCCAGGATTCTTTCATCAGGGGCTTTAAAACTAGTGTGCTAAATAATATGGCTGGGAACTGTAGTTTGAGATGCATAACAAATAAAGAAATGGATGGCTTTCTCCTCCAAAGAGAATTGCTGCAGAAATCCTTTGAACTTTTAAGGGCCCCCTGAAGGGTGGTTAATAATTGCCACCCTGACACTCAGAAGAGTTGGAAAGAGAAATCCCACAGAAATAAGACTGAGTCTCACCCGATCGTTTTGGTTGTACACCTGGAAGTGTGAGCAGCTCTGCAGTTTTCTTTTTTATGAACAGCAAATTGCTGTGGTTGTTCCTAAAGTGGAGTCCTTTCATCGGGAAGGCTGTGCCTGAGATATGAAAATCACTCTAAACACAGCAGGAGGGACAAACCTAGCAGCTGGACCTAGATTATGATCCTAAGTAATGACTGAAAATTATTTAACTTGAACTGATTGGTCACACCGAATCCTACTTTATCAGAGTTAGGATGGTTTTACCCCTCTCTTTAATTGCTTCCTACTGTAACCTTCCTGCAGTGGTTCCGAGAGGATTTTTCTCTTCCTGTTGCACTTCGGGTTCGTTATCCATCATCCTTTCAGTCCCCACCCCCTGCACATCACTTTGACTTGGATGCCACACAGAATATTTTCCATGTGGTTCTTAAGGTCGATGCCTCCTGACAGCACTGTGGACTGATAGCAAGTTAACTCATGGCCTCTGGCTGCTCAGAAAAAGCATAATGACAACTCAGATTTGGGAGGGACTACGACGTGCAGATATCAATGTGATCGTGAACTGTTACCACCAAGGAGCCTAAGCTTACGTCGGGCTGACTTGGGGAACGGTTTCCTCGGCTGGTGGACACTCTCCCTCCGAAGGGGTGCGACTGACCCATGATTTGGGCTTTCTGCCCTCCATGCGTGGCTGCACGGGCGGGGTTGTGTGACTGTCCCTGGGTCCAAGGTGGCTTTCCTCTCTACCTGGGAATGGCCTTGGTCAGGCGGCTCTCTTGGTTGTGTGCGGTTTATGGAGAGGCTAATCGCTGTTAAACTAAGCAATGTCTACAAGGGGTGGAGTCCGTGGTCCCAGGTGACAAGGACGTACTTCCCCTGGAACAGGCTCGTTTGGCTAAGTCATAAGAACCACCGTTGCCTATGGTTACACTGTGTCTGTCCAACTTTGGTCAACGTGGTGTCTGCTGAAGGTCTGCAGAGATATTGCTGATCATCTTCATGTCCACTCTGGGGCCTCAGTGATGCCCTTCACTCTTTGTGGGAGATCTTTGATCCTTCAGAAGAGAAAGTTTCCTTTCACGTTGGAGCTAAAGATACGTAGATTTGGAAAAGGTGGTGTTTTTGTAATTTTACTCTGATCGTTTAGATCCTGTATTGAGAGAGTTTTAGTGGGATTGGCCCTTTTTTCTTTCTTTTCTTTTTTTTTTTTTTTTTTTTTGTAGCCTAAGTTTGTGTGTTCCAACACGTAGTAATTCCTTTCTTCTTGGTA